ACACACACTCTGAATCCTTTTTGCTCTTGCTTTCTCCTGACATTTCCCTCTATATCCTTCCTCTATTTAATTTCTTTCTCCTTCTCTCTCGCTTTCTTGCTCATTCTGTAGCCACCCTCCACCTCGTGCCACCCATACCCAAACATACACACACAGACACAGTCTGTATGCAGAAGGATGCAGAAGAGAGAGAAGGCCTTCTGTCTAAAGAGGCTAACCACAACACAAGCTTTTTTTCCCCAAAACCAGACACTGAAGTCAAAAACTGACACTCCTGCATGCATGCATGCATACCAGCGAATCAACACACACAGATATATTGTTTCTTAAAACCCAGTCACTTTCACACACAGAGGGCAGAGTCAGAGGCACTTGAATGCAAAGAAGAAGAAGAAAAAAAAGGTGAAGACTTCAACACACACATACAAAACAGCACACACAACTACTCCAGCTCTATCAGCACTTGAGACTAGTGAGGCTTCAATTAGTTCTTGATGAATGAGCCCATAAGATGCCGCTCTCTCATTTCCCTTGTTGCTAGATATCCAAGCAATCAGAGAGAAATGAATTCTCATTGTGGCATGACTGAGACGAAGATGACGGTGGTAGGGCGGTGGTAGCGGCTTGGGGGAGGAGGGCACTAACATAAATCATTCACCCTCTCCGCTCAGGGCCAGAGCTGAGCTTTGTCACACCAAACCTGACAAGCCTTTGCCGATTTAACATCTTTTGTTTTTGTTTTTTTTTAGTGCACACTGCACACATCTTGCCGAAGTATTGCACAGAATTGTTGCATTATGCAAGTTTCTAATTGAAATATATTTTTTCAAAAATGTAAGTTTGTTTCTGGTCTAATTGTGTAAAGCAAAGGCAATGCATACTCAGAGTGACTGAGTTAAAAGCGTTAAGAGGGTAAATACTGCAAAAGACAAATGTGCCTTAGTTTTTAGATGTTGACTGCCAGCAAATGCAGATTTTATGTATTTTATTTATAACGTGTGTGAACATGTTTGTTGCAGTAAAGTTAGACTCACCATCATCAATGATGCTGACCACGACTCCATGTCCAGTAACGTTGTTCCTCCAAACCGGCATCAAATTCAGGTCAGTCGCATCAGTGTACTCACCCTGTGCAAACTATACACACACAGACACATATATACACAATATGATTAAAATGTTAGCATCACAAAAAAGTATAATTTCCTTTTTTCTACTTTTTTCCAAGTCTACTTGGTGGCACGCTGATATCCTCACAGAGCCTTGGTCAGTATATTTACTAGCGGACACAGTAAATATACTGTAACAACGGCATAAATCAGATATCAACTGCTTTCTGCTTTTGTTCACTGGAAAAAACAGTCAGTGTGCAATAGGCTCTTAACACGATGATCTGGTTCCACCTGGTTAGTACTCTTAGCGATCGGCGTGAGTAACGTGCAGAACAATTACATTCTCTTCCACTAGAGGGCAGTACAACTACCTGCTCTAATTAAATGGGTTGCCAACTGCCATAAAAACAGAAGAAGACGAAGAAGAAATTACATAATAGTCATGCTGCGAGACAATGCAGCACGTAATAGCAACAGATAAATATTTGATAAGAAAAAGTAGTCAATCTGACCTGGGTCCTGGAGAAAATTCCAACCCAGATGAAGGCCCTAGCATGAGAAGTGGTCAGAAGAAAGCACAAAAGGTATAATGGGGACAAACCGAGCCAATTCTACTATACCTGATGTGCGGGGAAAAATTATCAATATACTTTTTGTGACTTTTTTGTTTGGTGGTGTGCCGTGTGATTTTTCTATTGTGAAATATGTGCCGTGGCTCCAAAAGGTGGGAAACACTGGTCCTACTGGATGGATGAATGGTCAAAACTTCACTGTGCATTATTATTATTACTGTACTGTATATGAATATAATACCCTCTGAATTTGTGCTACATGTGCATTAATGGAAATGTTTACTTCAGTCGCTGGGTTATGTTAACTTATGAGGAAACATGTGCACATCCAGTGATACTTTCAGAAACCATATGTACGTTCAAAGTGCCCATAAGAAGCCCGGGGAGTTCATGGACGAGTCACATAGACAGGTCTTTCATCCTTTCACTTCAAACCACACAATCCACCCACACGCACACACACACACAAATCCACACACTGCTGTGCAGAAATCCTACCAACGTGAGGCACGAGAACCATCTTGGCAGCTCCCATGAGTCCTAATGGCCCCACACACTACACAGACACATTCCCTTGATAGCTTTAAGTGAAGCTTCAGTCTTGCATCTTCATGCAAACACATTCTCACAGGAGCACAAACCATAAAGGTAGTGCCAAAAGGTAGCGCGCAAGCTGTCTCACCAAAAATGTCAGCAGCTTCCCAAACATCCCCTGCCCACACACACAAAGCCAATCTGATATTCAAAGTGAGTTTTTCAAGAGGCTTCAACTCGGTTGTTGTTATCATGATGAAGAGAGAGAGGGAGAGAACGAGGAGGAGAAGAACACACAATGGAAAAAATGGTTACGAGGTGGTGGCGGTGGGTGGTGGTAGTTGTGGTAGGCAGGACTTGTTTGTGTGTGTCTGTGTGTGTGTGTGTGTGCTTTTGTATGTGTGTGTTTTGGGGGCTGCATCTGGGGAGCAGCAATGCTTTGTTGTTGTTGTGTGAATAAAGCTGATGAATGGAGGCAGCTAGCAGGCTAACGTCCACCAGAGCACGAGGACCGGCCCAGGGGAAAACGCACACACAACCAAAGGTACACCAAAATAAACGCACACACACAAACACACTCACACACACCTTTGTGAACTTGGATATAAGCCCACAGAGAGGCATTTTGAACACTGATTCACCCCACGCAGTCGTAGAGTGATCACCAACAACATACACACACACACATGTGCAGAATCATGATCATTCTCTGAAGCACTGAAATATACCAATCATGTGTTTCTCTAGTAAATGAACATTCTGGCACACACAAGCACAAATGCACACATGATCAAAGAGAAATATCTTTGGAGTTTTGGAAAGTTCATGCAACAAGAGAAAACAACAGTGGCACTTTTTCTATGCAGAAGACACACATGTAAACAGAGTGATAACATAACAATCTCTGGGTTCCCTGCCTTTATCTCAGCTGCCCTTCAGCGAAAACACACACACACTCTCTCTCATATAAACACACAGTAGGCACGCTCAAGATGCTGCGTGGATTTCAGAGGCTTTGAATGAGCTCCTCAGGAGGGGCTTGACTCAGTCTAACAAAAAGGGTACAATAGGCTCCACTTGCCTTGTGTGTGTACAGGAGGGTATAGCCCATCAGGTACAGCTTTTAGCGAACATACATGCCAGACTAGCACACACACACACACACACAAACATATATTTGTCTGGTCCTGGCAGGCTACCAACCCTGAGCAGATTACTGACCCTCAATCAATATCTACGTCCACCAGAGGCTGATTAAACACAACAGAACGAAAGCAGGAGAGCAGGGCTAGTGAGCAGGAGAGAGAGGGAGGGCCAGACAGAGAGAGCAATGTTCTCAACGTTAAAGACGCCTTTCATTTTTCTTGATTAATGAGTGATTGATAATTATGTTCTATTTCTCAGTTCATGCAATCATTCCATAAAGTTAACGTTAATCCGCTTAGTGTCACACTGCATGCTCCAGCACATGAATCATACTGCGCTGCATAAACAATCTTGTCAATAACCTTCTTAAATCGAGAGAGGTGACTATTTGCAACAAAATCGTGCTTATAAGAAAAGAAACCGTCAGATTTTTTTTTTTCCCTCACTAGTGCTTCATATGCCCCCTGTTTCTGTCTCCACCTCCCTCCACCCCCATCCTGACTTTCACCCCTTCATCTTGCCCTGAGAGCTGAGGTGTCAATCATTCTGTTGCCGGTTGCTCTGGTGAATCTCTGACCCCGCCCCTCCTCCTCCTCGCGCTGCCAGATTACGCCCTCGTATGTCAGTCAAGAACGTCTGCCCTGACGATTGGACGAGCCCTAGTTGCCCTGTATTAGTAATAAACCAGACACTAATACAGGCTGTTGAATTGTTGACTACACTTTGGTAAGAGTAAAAGAATTATTAAGACCTATCAAGGAATTTATAAAGCATAAGTTACATAATGTAACCAGTTGTGTAAATGCAAACATAATCTAAAGAAAAAAAACAAACAGGGACAGGGTTTCTCAATAAGCAGCCTTCCTATTCAGCTGTTTACTGAGCTTTAATATACTTTTTGGTATCAACCGAATGTGTCAGGAGAGGTACTCAAGGCTGTTAAGTGCATACATCTTACGAAGAGTCATAGACATAACTGTGACAATATAATGACCAGTGTTGGTTTTTTCCCCTCAGAAAAGATTCATTCAACAAACATTTCTAAAGACAATTCCAGAACTTCATGTCTTAAAGTTACAGTGTCTAAAATTTTCAATGCTAGATGTCAGTAGACTGCAGATATCAATTAACTGAGGTCTGCTTTCTCACCCCTCCCAATTCAAGTGCATAAGCCTAGCTACTGTGGCTGCTGTAGGAAAAACATGTTTTAGTCAGGTCAGAAAGATCAAAAATATGAAATTTAGACTGTACCCCATAACAACCATGGCCAGCCGGCATGTTTCTGCTATGTTTGAACCAGATTCGCTCTGGACCTTTTCCCCATGTGTTGAAGGTTGCCAGTCCACTGTTTACCTCAGCTGTCAATGCTGGGCGAGAAACCTCCACCTTTATTTACTCCAGGAGTGGGGGAACTCCAGGCCTCAAGGGCCGGTGTAATGCAGGTTTTAGACGTGTCCTTGATCCAACACAGCTGATTTAAATGGCTAAATGACCTCCTCAACATGTCTTGAAGTTCTCCAGAAGCCTGGTAATGAACTAATCATTTGATTCAGGTGTGTTGAGCCAGGGTGAGATCTAAAACCTGCAGGACACTGGCCCTTGAGGCCTGGAGTTCCCCACCTCTGATTTACTTTGTAAGGGGCTGTAAAACTTTGTGAATGGACTCTAATATACGGCTCGCTGAGTCAGAGAAGCTCACTTCTAAATGATGACAGCCATACTGAGGTGCGTTATTGAACATATTCTGAGCAGTCGGTAAGCGCTACTGTTTTTCGCGCTGTTAGCTACTCTTAGCCTCTTAGCCTGCTGTTAACACAAGAAATATTGTTGGACTCTGACACTTAGCAAATTAGCTCTCATACTATGTAAGAATGTAATCAAATCAGCAGGAATGTGGGATTCTCTTGTACCCTAACATTAGCTGGTGTAATGTGAGCTTATAAACAGCTGTTGTTGTTGTTTAGCCGGCTCTTGTCAGGTGTACAGAGACAGGAAGGTCATCTAATGTAGCTGACAATAACTAACTGCAACAATATTGGGAATAAATAAGTATATTTATGCACATTTCGATATGAGGCTAAAATACAGTTTCGGAGACGAGGCTTGAGATAAGGAGGAAGAGGATGACATCATGCAAACTCTAAAATTAACTTGAAATTCTGATTTAGATGCTAATCTGTGAATTTTGACTACTTGAAATATTTTATAATAAAAGGCTGTAGATTAGTAGCTATTAAATAATTTGTACGTTATTAAAAAATAAGATATTTTATTAAAAAATATGCCTTTTTATACCCAAGCATCCTGTCACTTTGCTCCTTTTGGTCTTCTCAAACATAGTGTACAAGTATCGTCCAAACAGGATGAACAAGACTCTGCAGAATGGATGAGCATGTCTTGTTGTTGCAGCCCAGTTGTGTGTCAGTGTTGCTCCGAGCCTCATCAATCCCTGACATCTGTCTCAGTTCAACATGGACAACCCCCTTCACCTCCTCTCTCGCTCGCTCTTTCCTCCTCCACAATCCCCCCCATCTCTCTATCGTCCGTCTCACTCTCCAGTCACACATGAAAGCCTGCCTGACTTATGCCTGTCAGAGGAACATCCTTCAACATGAAGATGAGAAAAGTTGGGGTGGGGCTTCCAGATAAGACCAATGAACACATACAAATACACACTACTACACATACACTTACACATAAATACACCCACCAGTTCCCATTGCATGGGCCAGAGAGGGTCATTGAAGGTGAGGGACTGGTCACTCTTATTGTCTTCGGGCTGCTTGTCAGTTTCAGACTCTTTCCTGTGGGGACCTGCAAGCACACACAAATATCATGTATAAACATGTGCATGTAGTCTTTCTTTCCTTGTCCTGAACTCTGACTTCAGGACGTCCCTGGTTCCCAACCAATGGCGCAAGGCCTCCCAGATCTCCCTTTTCTCCGCTGAGGTGGAATTCTACTGGCAGATTACCATATCATTAGCATATTATTAGCATCTCATTGCTGCAGAACAGCTTGGCTCGCTGTCTGCAGAAGAGCCATCAGCCCATCAAGGCCTGCACCTTTCCTTCCCTACATTTAATGTTACACTGACTGCCACTCGTTTTCACCCATGCACAACTCTCTCTCTCAGTGCTCTTTACTATCTTCTCGCTATCAGTTTGTTTGATAATTTCTTGAACTGCCAAATTAATTGATATCACACTAGCCTTTTCTGGAAGTGACTGTAATGAAACATCCCACACAAGTATAAATATATCTCAAGTATTAGGATTAATAGGAGATCATTTGGTTCCAAACCAATTTTAATTTTCTTGCACGACTCTCTCCAGTGTAGCACTGCTATGAAACAAATAATAATTACAGTTGCTTTACCTTAATAGACTCTGATTAGGAATTGTGTTTTACCGCATGTAAAACACAAATTTAAAATCTGCCTCTGGACACATGACCCAGTATGCAGAGCGTTGTCAGTAACGCTAACATATAACAGTAGAGAACCACAAGTATAGTATTGTTAGAGAGATTCTCCCAAGTCTTTCTGTTAAAAAATACTTTTTTTCATATAAAGTAATGTGAATGTAGTTGAATACCACAATTAAAGACAATTAACAATACGCTAATGTATATTTTTACAGAATAATACAGTCTTGTTTTTGCTGGATCTTTGGGAGACGAATGTGTCCCATTCTCGTTGTTCAACAGTCCTGGGTCTCCTTTGTCATATTTATCATTTCATTGTGCATCAAATGTGTTCAACTGATGAAAGATCTGGACTGCAGACAGGCCAATTCAGTACCCGGACTCTTCTAATATGAAGCCATACAATAGATGCATGATTTAGTTGAGTATTTCTGGTTGAAATATATGCGGCATTCCATAAAAAGATGTTTGTATGGGACTCTATGTCACTTATCTGTATATATATTTCAGTGCTGATGCTCCCTTTCCAGATGTGCAAGCTGCCTTTTCCATAGGCAATAAAGTACCCCCATGCCACCAGAGATGCTGGCTTTTCAACTGAGAACTGACAACAAGCCAGATGGTCCAATTCCTCTTAAGTCCTGAGGATGTGGCATCTATGCTTTCCAAAAAGAATTCCATACTTCGATTTGTCTGACATAACAGTTTTTATTTTATTTTAAATAAGCTTTGGTCCAGAGACGACAGCAGTGTTTCTGGATTATGTTCAAGTATGACTTCTTCTCAGCATGATAAAGCTTTAAACTGCACTTGTGGATGGCACAACAAACTCTGTTCATAGACAGTTATTTCTGGAAGTATTCGTGAGCTCATGCAGGGTTTTTTCATGTCAGTCATGCCTGTTTTTAAATGTAGTGTTGCCTGAGGACCAGAACAACACAGACATTCATTACTGATTTTCAGAAATGGGGTTGTACATTTATTAAACATTAATAAAATACGAAATTTTAATTCATCATGACAAATCTTGATCACTTTGCTTTACTGTTTAACTTCAAGTAAAGACATGTGTTTAAGTAAATATGCAAGGACAGTATAGGACAAATACATGAATGTAAATCAAATTAAAGAAATGTTAAAAAATAATTTTTACATACATTCTCTGGGATTTTAGATCACTTTAGGAAGTAAAATGATTAAACTGTGTAAAATAAAACTGCTCAAGGTTGCCTTGTCCCTTGCAGATGGTGTGGTATGATTCTCTGATTTTATTGTTAATATTATATACTGTAAATAATGAGATATTCAAAGTCTTAGCAATTTTACATTGAGTAACATTATTTTGAAGTTGTTTCACAATTTCTAGACACATTTGTTTTGCAGACTGAAGAACCTCTTCCCATCTTTACCTCTGAGAAACGCTGCCTCTCTAAGATGGTCTTTTTATATAGCTATATTTATATAGCTAGCAATCACCCACTGATGCTCTTATGGCAGTTTTTCAGCTCAGGTCAGTATCTATTCATCTTCAGGGATGATATGGTTGAGTACAAATTCACTGAATTCAGAGTATATGAGGACATGTGTTCATATAGTCTGAATTCAGAGCGTTATAACACTAAAATAGCGGTATACTGGAAGCCAAACAGCTGACAGCATTATAGTGCCAAGCTTTTAAATGACACAGTACTGGATTTAACATAGACTACATATTTTATATATATACTACTGCCATCAAATCCAGCCGCCCACATAACGGTGTAACTTTACAGTATGAATACTAATTAAATAGAATATTATCCCCCAAAATATTTTCTCCACCATCTATGCTCAGATCTATGTGGACTGAAGAGGTTGTACACCGGTTGTGTATACTTATAAAAGACAAATATGAACCTCTTCTTCAGCGCACGATGCAGCTGGAACATGACCAGAGGACCCTGATATTCTTTAATGTTTAAATTTTCATTATACAGTCATTTGAAAAAATAATTACATCCCACTGAAACGGCAGGCTTTTTGGACGTATTTGGACAAGCGAACATTTGATCCACTTTGAAACGGTGCCCACAGATAAGGAGATAATCAAAAGAAAAATATCAAAAGATGCAATTTTCTTCTGTGAAAAGAGTATGCCCACCCTTCGCTTCAGAAGCTAGTATGTCGACCTTTTAGCAGAAAAATAAAATAAAATCTTGTAGGCGTTTTGCTCAATTACCCACCAATCTTTGACAGCGGCTTGCTAAAAAATTTTGACCCTTCTTCCATGCAAAATTCCTTCAGTTGCGAGATGTTTGAGTGCTTTCTTACATGTACTGCCAGTTTCAAATCCCACAACATTTCCATGGGATTTTTCCTGGGGTTTTTTTTTTTCAATAAAAATTGTTTTTTCATTTCTAACAATGTCTTGGTGGAATTGCTTGTTTAGGATAATCCTGCTGAGAGGTCCACTTCCAGTTCACCTTTCACAAATAACCATATATTATCTTTCAGCTCTTTGATATGATGCTGAATTCATGGCTGAATCACTGACCCCAAGTTGTGCAAGAAAACCACACCAAAGCATGACATTTCCACACAGTTCATATGAGTTTCTTCTCCTCAAAAGCCACCTTTGGTCTGATCCAAACATGTCAACTTTTGTTGTGGCCAAACAACTACTTTTGATTTGTCTGTCCAGTGGACATTATTCCAAAAGCCCTGGTCTTTACCTTTACAGTCACTGGCAAACTGTGCTGTGCACTATTAAACATTGTGAGGCCAAATTAGTATAATCTCTTTCTGACAATACAAATATACATTTTCCCAACAATATTTGCCAGTTATGGGCAGACTTCTTTTAGCAGGGTAGCTCCTGTGATGAATCTGCTGGGGTAGCCGGTCCCAAAAAATTCAAATTGGCAGTCATTTGAATCTTTCTCAGTTATAGATGAAGTTCTACTTTTTCTGCTTCTTCTGGCTGCTCCCTTGAGTGGTTGTCACAGCAGATAATCTTTCTCCACCTCACCCTATCGCTAGCGTCCTCCAATGTCACACCAGCCCCCACATGTCCTGCTTCACTACATCCTTCCTGAAAACACGTACAGACCATCTCAACTTTGCCGCTCTAACTTTATCTCTAAAATGCTCGACCTGAGGTGTCTTTCTGATGTACTCATCTTAATCTTGTTACTCCTAACAAAAACCTTGGTATCTTCAGATCTGCCACCTCCACCTCGGCCTCCTGCCTGTTCGTCAAAGCAGGTCTCTGCAATTTCTCTTCAGATCTTGATGGTTCACCACACTTTGATAACAATTGGAACACCAGACGCTGGATGTGAGAGGTTGAAATAACACATGTTCCACCTGTCTCTCCCCAAGGAGGCTCTAATCATTGGCACCTAATCAGGAACACCTGATTCTAACATTATCAGTCTGACAGTGTTGGTAATATTGGGATACACTTCCTCTCTTTCATGCTTCTGATTTGTTCTTATTGATTTATTTCTTAACAAATATTTGACAGTGGCTCCATAACGTAGTGGCTTACACATTTGCCTAATTAGCGAAAGATTCCAAGTTTGTTTCTGTGAAGGGACACAAATCCCTTTGGGGTTTTGTCAGGAAGGGAATGTTGTGTAGAAATCTCCTTTACTGACAAATCTGTTGTCAGTAAAGGAGCAGTTGAATATAGCTATATTTTATAATGACATCTAATATGTAACAACACAACTTCTTATATTTTAGTCTTCAAATGATTTGTGTTTGCTTGTCCAAATATGTCAAACAGGTTATCTGCAGGTTAAATATATCACGTGTAGTAAGGTCCATATTTTTGAGACATTTTGCTTCTGGACACCAATACAGTGGATTTAAATCAAACACTCAAGATGTGACTGTAGCTTTAATTGCACAGGTTTATAAGGAACTGTATTAAATGTTTAAGAATTACACACATTTTTGCATGTAGAGCCAGTAGAGACTCAAAGGTTATTGGACAAGTAACTGATACATGTTTCATGATTAGGCCTGTTCCCTTCTTATTCCATGGCAACTTAAGCTGACAAAAGATCTGAAGTTGATTCCAGTAGTTCGATGTCCATTTCGTAACTGTTCACTAGAACTCTCAATATGAAGTTATGAAGAAATGTCAGTGCAAGTTAAGGGAGCCATCCTGAGACTGGAATATCAAAATAAACCTCTCAGAGAGATAGCAAAACTTATGGAGTAGCTAAAAGAACAATTTGGTAAACATTCTTCATAAAAAGAAGAAAGAAAAAAAACCCGACCGACTCAGCAATACCAAAAGGTCTGAAAGACAACTAAAGTGTAAAATAAGTGAGATATTCCATGATTAAGATAAACACCTTCACAACACCCAACCAAGTCAAGAACACTGTCAAGGAGGC